TAATTTCCGCCCGTCGTTCTTGGCTTCGAGACCGTGCCCAGTGCTGTCGGCCATCGCATCGAATAGTTCTGGAGGACTGCGCGGGAGGGCCTTGCTTAAATGTGGCACCGTCACGGTGACGGATGACGACTGGTCATCATTTGTCACTGAGCCTTCCCAACATCCTTCATCGTCCAAGCAGCAGAATGGGCCGGAGACATGGAGTTGCCCAAACAAACTCTCTTTATCATTTTCTCGACCTTGGATATGATGCGCTTTGAACGATTAATGAACGCCATCATGTCTCTCCTTCCTTGAGGGAACTTCTCCGTAGCATACCGCGGCTCCCAGCGGATCCTTCGCCTTCTCGTGGGAAATTCGGGAAAATGTTTTATCTGAGGAATTTTCCCAAGCCAGACCGAACAGCCCATCGAGGAGGATGCACCCCAATTGTTGGGGGCGGGGAATGAGAAAAATCTCGATTCGGGAATGAATATGGACGGTTGGGCCTTATGGGCCGGGGAAATCATCCGCTGTGGCAACTGCACTGGTTCTATTTGCTGTCTCAGTCCCTGGATTGAATCGAAATTCACCGATGGTGAACCAGGGGATCACGGCGTTCTGTCGACCGGCTACCGCCGGTAGACGGACGAGTGGACGATCGTCTCCTTCCCCAGCTGCACGGAAGATTACTTTGGAGCTCTTGGAAAACTGTTGGAGGTTCGGAGTCAGTCATCAGGATCGGGGATTAGGAACTGCTGGTAGCTGAGGATCACCTCTTACTTACCACCACACAGACGAGGAAATATTCGGGAGACGAGAGAGACCCTATCATCAGTCCTTTTCGCGCTCGGTCACCACGCTGAGTCTGGAATCAAGGCTCATGGATACCAAGGGAAGCTTGGGGGAGATGAAGAAGGAACTTGATCCAGAGCCTCCTTTGTATGCAGACGATCTGGTTCCGATGAAAAATGGGGAACCGAGCGCTCATGCGTCACTGGAATGGGCGGTGAGACCACGAAAGCTCTTACTCTGACCGGACACGAGCTGAGCTCAGATCTCTGGAACAGAAGCACTAGACGAGACAACCCCCTTGATGATACGAGGAAATTACATCCACTTCCTGGACAGCCATATATAGACAGGGAATATATTCCCTGCACCGAACTCTTCTTTCGACAGCAGGCGAAAGAAAGGAAAACACGAGGTCGAACATCGGATGCACTTCCGATGCTTATTCACTCCCTGCGGGATCGAAATTACTCTGACCCTTGCACTCACAAGGACAGCTATTGCAGGGGAAACCGGCTGCGCGGTGCCGGTAAAGTGCGGAGGGGTGCCGGTCGCGTTTCGGATTTTTGAGGAGAACTTTCCTTCATTCTCTGCGTATCATTATAATCGATGGTCCAGTTCTCCAAGATTGCGCAAATAGACCAGACGCTAGCTCCGCACAGGAAAACACTCACGCCGCGCCGGCGCCGCGTCCGCGTTATTACCTTAGGAATGCCCAGACCGCGGAGTTCATTCAAACTAAAAAACTCAAAAAAAAAGCAGAATGAATAGAGATGGGGATTGTTCGCAAGGCTAGACAACTCGATTCCATTATCGGAGGAACGGGAAGCTCAAAAGGTATAGACCCAGTAAGCCGAAACTTTCACGCCGAAAGCCAGAACGCCGAAATTCGTCTAACCGAAACCCAGTACGCCGAAAGTTGAGGTAGCCGAAATCCAGTACGCCGAAAATTCCTCCTGGCGGAAATACCGATCACACGTCCCGAAGGAATACAAAATGCTTCTTCTTCGAAATTCACTTCTCTTTCCAAGCTTTGGGCTGGATGGAATCCGATATTCGTAGAGAAAAATGTGGCCGGACAGAGGAACACGCATAATAATTCTTCCGGTTATGGCTGGTGATATTGCGAGAAGATACGAAGAATTGTATTTTCTCGATCTATCATAGGTTAGTGTGATGATGATGGTATGCTCTGCTTTGCTCTCGGGGTATCGACCATCTCGAATCTGAAATCTTGATTTACTTAAGCGCAGTAATTAGCTATCGGCCGAGCAAGACAACTGACCTCATCACGGGAAGCCCGCTTCAGAACCTCACGGGCGAGCTTCGGGTACCTGGTCGCCGATGGCCTAGCAGTCCTCCACGCTGAAACCCTGAGCAGACCATCCGCTATTCATTCTAGAGTGAGCGTGGCAGCAGGAATGTTGCGGACATAAGGATTCGGGACCACAAGTATCCGACGGCCTCTGTAATCAACGTGTAAAAATTTGTTCTACATGGAGCCGCTTTCCTTAGCCGGGATCCGGCTGGATGAATCACTTTGCGAGTCCATGGGCCGAAGCTTTTTCGGGGAGGGTGCCATTGGCGCCACGGCCCCTCTTTCTCAGGGAAATTTCTCGATCGTCGATGACGATGAAATGAGAATTCGGCAGACGCGTTACCTTCGACCCCTCATATAAGTGTATCGCGAGGCATACCCTTTCGCAAGTCCTGACGAATTTTGATCCATTTCCCCTCTCCCTCCTCCGTCCTGGAGTTGGGAATCGCTGAAGCCCCTATCGCGGGTATACCGATCGCGATCCGGTGCTGGTGCAGCGGATTTCTCCCGCTACACGTCCCCTCCCCCCTGGCGCTGAAGGTCGAGAGATTCGCCAAGTGATGTCGGGAGAGACCCTCACACCAGGTAATTCCTGTGTCAATCCTGTGAGCATCGCTCGGTGGCGATAGACGGGTACTTGTGTACATAGCATTTGCATGTATGTATGTGCACGTGCTGCTGCGTATGAACGACTGACTCGGGACGTACTCGGCTATGATGGCTCCACAGCATTTGTTTCTTTCGGAGCTGTGATCGGCGACGAACCTCATTTGCTCACTTCAGAGAGTGACATTGTCTGTAGGGCGAGGCCGAATAAAAAGCATACGCCGATGAGCCTTCGAGTTCCCGGTTCCGATTCCCGATTGCGCGCTCACTCAGAGACTTAGCGTATCTCCATCTGCCTCCCGGGCTTTGCCTGGTCTGGGGCATTGGGCAAGGGCCAGGCATTTGACAGTGGTAAGTGATAAGCGTACGAGAAAAATACTGCTGTATCGAATGGTGACATTCGATAGTTTTCGCATTCGAGATTCTTCAGTGTGGAGCACCCTGTGATTTTGCTCAGCGCGTTCCCCCGCCAAGAAAAATAATCAGGGAATGATCGCGAAGTATTCTATTCTCAAATTAGAGAAGAGCAGAAGATCCAATCGTTCTTCGAGCACGCGTGATGATGACGAGTACTCGTCCTGATTACAGCGGCGGAATGGGTCCGACTTAAAAAGACGAGAGGACCGCTGGGAACGATGAAGATTCGGGAGCGACTCGGGCTCGGGAGAGTTCGCGAAGAATTCGCTTTTGGAACTCTTCCGCATCATGATTGATGCGGAGAGATTACCCGAAGGCCGACGTACGAGAACCGCGAGACCGCTGGGCATCGTGGGAACCGAATCCCGCGGTCAGCTGTCTCGGGACCCGGGGACCTGAATCTCGAACCGTGGCTGCTGGTCTCCCACAGCTCTCGAGCCGAATGCTCCATGGCTCCTTGTGGAGCATCGGAACCCGCATTGGACTTTTTTTTGGAACTCAATTCGCCTCTGTGTTTGTTGTGTTTCTATCAATGTGTTTGTGTGTTGTGTTCCTCATCTGTGTTTACCTAGTCCGGCTTCCGATAGTCGGGTGAGCAGGTTGCGAGAGCGTGGAAGATACCCCCACCAATCCAGTTTAAGACGACCGAGGGCGGCGATGGAGCTCGCCGCACTGTTCAACGGCGGCAGCGATGAATCAAGCGGCGAACAAAAACACCGGAGAGGTCATCCTCATTTGAGAAAATTACTTGTTTGGCTCCAGTCCAGGCTCTCGAAGCGCCAAAAACATCTGTGGCATTCTGTCGGGAAGCACTCAACAGCTGCGACTCGGAAATCTTGAGGGGATTAATTTCTCTCCATGAGAAAAAGACTTAAGATGGATTTAAGCAATCTATCCGAACGAGAAACGATGCTGTCGCATATGAAGGCCGACTCCCTCATTTTAGACTCTGTACCCTTCCGTTCGTATCCCGGGACGCCCGGACGTTTCTCGAGTGTCCGCTGGTCTTGTATCCATGTCGTTCACTTGGTTATGTATCGCGCTCTCCGGTTCGGTTTCGTAATATCCGGCGGCAGCTCCGTCAATTTTCCATGGGATCTACCTCAATGTCACATCGTCCCGTTATACCTGACTTCCGGCGAACGTCAACGACAGCAACACGAGAGCCATGGAAGGATCCATCATTGTGAACTAAATGAGCACTTCCGGTGGCGACACACAACAGAATAGTCCAAGGACATGCGACCGCCTTCGCCTGAAGCGAGGCTTATTTGACTCATTGAACCGTATCCTCTCGCAATGAGACTCCCTCGCAACGAAAGAAGCATATTGTTCTTTCGGTCCCACCGCATCCCACCGCAAACGTTCGTGGCTTATTTGAGCGAGGTCGGGTCCCCCCTCCATTCTAGCGTGTCGAGAGTGCCATAGAGATGCGTAGCGACGCTTACAATGCCCCTCGAGAATACGAAGAGGAAAGAGATAGAGGGCGGGGATCCGGCCCGCGACCGGAAAAGACCGAGCATAACATTTCCTTGGATCAGGTCCATTTACTGAATTAAGATTTGCCGACCAAAACGAGCGGACGCCCGCTCTTATAACCACTTCCTTCCTCTCTGAATTCTCCTGAATGAATCCTCCCCCCTATCTTCCATCGTCGAATCCGAGAAGAAAGGGTCGCGGGGGACCGCAGCGGAAAGTTTTCCGTAATTCCCAGGTGAACCTTTTCTGCGACTATGCTATGGTTCCCGATGTTGGCGCTGGAATCAAAGGACTCAGCGTCACGTCCGACAGGATCAAGGAACGGAAATTAGGAGAGTCAGATTATGACGAGGAATAATGAAAAAAAAAGCGATTCGTTTCTGACAGTGTTTTTTTTTGTCCATTGCAGGCAACTTACTTGTGATCGTTGTGGTGTGCCTAAATCGCCGCATAAGAACGATAACGAACTTTTTTCTCGTGAACCTCGCCATCGCCGATTTTAGTGTCGGTCTGTTTTGTGTTTATCAGAACATTTCTCTATACCTCATGGAACGATGGATATTCGGAGACTTCCTGTGTCGAATGTATCATTTTGTGCACGGCATGAGTTATACAGCCTCCATACTGATTCTCACGGCGATCTCAGCGGAGAGATACTTGGCGATTTGTCATCCGATGTGGAGTAAAAGGGTAAGAACCCCCGGTGGATTTCCACGACACGTTTGGGCTCAAGGACCCACTCAAAACTTGACTGAATTCGATTTCTGTTCTCAGCACATCACAATCGGTTACCTTCGCGCGACCGTCTGCACTATTTGGATCATCGCCGCGGCATACTCGGCGCCGAAAATCATGATTTACGGAGTCATCCGGTAAGTGTTGATCGAGGGCGGAGAAGCCAGTGAGGATATACAAACACGAGAGGGAGAAAAATCGTTATCGAATGAGCCCTCCGGTTGAGAGCTCCGAAGCGAGAGATGGAAATTTAGCCGAGCCGGCAACCGCCGATGCTTCAGTGAAAAAAGGTGTCGTCGAGGCGGGATTCGACTCTGAAGTCAAAGAATCACGCGCCTATTGACCGTCTGTCTGACTCGTCCAAGCCGACGATAAAGAACAGGAAGGTTTTCAAAAGACGCTCATGGCATTGGCAATAACGATCGGCTCCGATAGTGAGGAGAACATGACAAGAGAAGTCTTCCTGCTTCCTTCGAGGAAGGGAAGTTATCCAGACAGGAAACGTGTACTCACAAAAATCGAAAAAGTGTGTTGGTGTCAGCAGTAAGGGAGAAAAACCTCCGTGCCTGAAATACTGCTTGTCATTGTCGCCTTATCAGAGCCTTTCTTCTTATTTCCCTGTCGTTCTGTGGATCGTCTCAACGCTCCCTGTACTGATCTCTAGCAAGAGATTGTCAAGGACCAGGGGGTCCCTCCCGGAGCCGGTAGACAGCGCAAGGCTAGAACCCCGAACTTTGAAATCGCTTCCGAATCAGGGCTTGCTATCTTTCATGGGACAATCTCGTTCCGTCGGGAAAAAAACAGAATATAAACGCATCCGCTTGCGGTCGAGCCGTCGATCGGTCGAGCTTGACGGGTACTGACTATAACTCCTATTTTTCTCTCTTCCGAATCAGCTACGACAGCGAAGACCAACCGGGAGAATTGTGTGTGATGCTACGCGAAATGAAATCTTACTACAAGCTGCATAAGTTGTACGATTTGATCAACTTCATCGTGTGCTTCGTTGTGCCCTTGGCGATTATAACGGTGCTCTATACGTTCATTTGCCTCAGACTGTGGCGATCGCAGGCCATGCTTCTCCCGAATAAAAGTCCCTCGCTCAATGGCAATTTGAAAGCTGCGCACTCGCCCCAAGTGAACCTGGACGTCCAGGATAACCTATCGATTAATCAAGCGATTCCGACCCCTCCGGAAATCCAAACCACTTGCGATGTAAGTGCACGACAGGATGTGGACTTGCAGCCCGTTTCTGTCCGTCAAGCTCGGTGAATGACCGGAACCCTCTGTTTTCCAGGACGAGAGCATCGCCGAAAAAACGGGACTCACCTCGGGGATGAGCCGGAGCCCTATAATTAAAACTCGTCAAAAGAACAATCATGGCTCACCGGATCACATCGACATCGAGAGCGGCCGACACGATCGATGTAACTCGTCGAGCGCCGTCCTCCGCTCCCGCAGAAAAGTGATACGACTCCTAGTTATTGTTCTTCTGTGCTTCGCTGTTTGCAATCTTCCCTTTCACGCACGAAAGCTTTATCAAAACTGGAGCGCGTCCTACGACGGAACGCAGCTCCCGTACGTTGTCTTGACCATGAGCACGCATCTAATTCTGTATCTCAACTCGGGAATCAATCCCTTCCTCTACGCTTTGTTCTCGAATAATTTCCGGCGAGGAATGCGCGACGTTCTTTGCTGTAACACGAGCCGAATGAACAGCGCAACGACTGCGACGCAGCTCGCTCGCTTCCCATCTAACCAAAGGCAACAATCCTTGGGTAGAAAATTAAACTCGCAGGACGTCTGAGAAACGAAGTTCCGTGGAGCGTCCCGCAAGCGGGTGATAAGACCGACGACGGAGAGCGAGCGTGATCGTGAACATCACCGATATCTCGTCGTCGCTGACCTGTGATCAAAGAATGCTAGTTTCGGGATCTTGGCGGAATACGTCAAGCGAAGGGTGTCGTGCATTAATTTTCTACGATGGGGTGGCCAGCGTCTCTTTTTTTCCCGGGAGGCGTCAACAATCAGCAGTGAAGTTTTTGAGGCACGGGACGGCGCCGAAGGACGAATATGAACCTTGAACGGGAGCGAACAGACGAATGTTTTTCCCTCGATCGCTTGGTGCGAAACTTATTCCTCGACATGTTTCAGAAGAGGTGCTGAAGTGATTTCGAGTTGAAGAGAGTTACAACTTCGTAGTATGGCGGAATTCCGTCTGAATCCCGAAAATGAAAGAAGTGCTCAGAATGAAGGAACCCACAGGAAGCTCGATAGGTATCGAAGAATTCCGTCAGCCCCTTTGAGGGAATTCTGGAGTGTCCCAACAGTCTCGACTACACCACAAGACGCTTGAGAAGGAAGTACGAAGGAAATATCCCAAATATACTACCTTGAGGAGGGGGGAGTCGTCCAAGGAGAATTCAAACTTCCCTTACAGAGTGTTGAAAAGTCTTGGAACTTCGAAGAAGAGCTTTCCGCGGAGATTTTTAAGGTCAGTCTAGACCTGGACGCACGAGAGGTTTTCGGAGAACTCCCCACAACACTCGAGTTTGTCTGGGGAACTTCCAGCGTGAAGTGTCGCTGAACGTCGAAGAGAAAAGAAGAGGGAGAACTGATAAGCTTTTTTAAAGGCGAAGGAACGGTTTCTTAGGAGCGGAGCAGAGTCTCTGAGGATTCGTCGAGGAATAAATGACACGTTTCGGAGTCAGAGCAGTGATGGCATCGAATCCCAAAACGGAAGGCGATCTTCCAGCGACCGAGTGCTATTGTTCCGAATGTATCGGCCGACTACTGCAGACGCTAAGTCGCTTCTTCATGCGAGACGGTTCCCGTATAATGTGCGCGTGCCTCTATTTGTACAAAGCACTGTCGATATGAATATTTTTTCGTATACTTGTGCCGGAAGTACACTCACGTGTGGCGCTTGGTTGGAATTGAATACGGATGTGTGTAAAAGTGAGGGCGTAATACAGTACTCTGTTTCAAAACGACGGCTATTTGTGTTCCATGTGAGCTTCCAGGAGGCATTCATCTCCAGGGAGGAGCCTCGATTGATTCATGTACAAGAGGGGAATCCTGACTAATCGTTCCCTGTACATCACCGATCGCCCTCCGCGTCCGAAAACGGACCGGGAGCGGAAGTGGGACTAAGAGGTGACTCCTAAATCAAAGGGAAATTGGTCGGTAGAGCTCCTCAGAGGAAGTCGGTCCCAAATCGAGAAGCGACAACAAGTACATTTATACAGCAAAGCTCAGCAGAGCGAGTCATCGAGTTTCTTACATCCGGGGAAAAGGGTTTTGCTTGGATAACTATGGGAGTTGCTCACATACGCTTTAACGGATGCGCCAGGCCGTAAAGGCGTGAAAGCCGAAATTCGTTCGCTGGTGACTGACTCGGAAACAAAAGTCATTAGTACCCATTGAGAGTCTACCAGCCCGTTTTATTTTTGTGAGTCACAGACAATGGGAGCTAATGAACCGGAAATTAATTGCGGTTCGTCTGGATAACAAGCAAAGGCCGCGCTGTCCAAGGTCTATAGAGCCCAGTTCCTAAAAACCACTCCACCATAAATTATATACCATCTCTCAGCTCCGGAGCTCATCTCACACTTGATAATCAGGCATTCGAATCCTTGGGAGTTCTATTTTCCCTCGAACAGCTTTTTTATAATCTCGCGAGACATCGATGGAAAAGACTGCGCGCTGACTGAGAGAGCCGTTCGAAGGAACCTTGCGAAATTTCTGCTGCCTGCCACGATATGCTCCTGTTCCTGGATCGCAGGATCTCACTTCGACGTGCCGAGCCAACTACCGCACATGACGCTTCTCGCCGTATCGAGATGCCGTAAATTCTTGCCCAAGTAGCAGCGCTTGCATAACAGAGTCATAGTCCAGTTCACCGACGAGCTCGACTCCGACGTCAAGTTTAGCCTCCGGGAGGGCCGGGACGGATTCCCGCGTCTCTTTCGCAAACTTGATCCTGAATTCTCGAGCAAATGTGCAGTTGCTTTTCCCGGATCAGTGAGCAGCCTTCAGTTGGCAAGCAATTCTAGTGCGAGCTGTTTCTCTCCTCTCCCTCCTTTTTCCTCGATTAGTTTCTCGGAGCTCCCGTTGGGTAGCTTACGACTGCGGCGGCAATGCGGAACAGCGTCGGCGGCTCCAAAACATTTACTCTTCGTGACCGCTTTGCGGTGGAGAGCGGAGCTTCGATATATTTCGTCAATCACGAGACTGGACCTTTGCGGATCTCCGTTCGTCTTGAACTTTACGACTCATCCCGAAGGTCTGGTCGCAAGAATGGGAAAAAAATCGCGATTCCGAATCCCCGGCGGAATCGAAAAGTGGAGGGAGTGGATCTATCTCGAGGTCTTCTTCACTAGTCTTTCAGGTGGCGGAAGATTGGTCGACGTCGTTGCTGTGGTTCCCCAAGACCTTTGAAATTTCGAGGCTTCCGGGGGATTCCCGCAAGAACTAATCAGAGCCGCTCCCCGATGAGCAGAGAATGGCCTTCGATAATTCCGATGGGACTCGCGCGATTCACCCGCTAATTGACAGGAGAGAATGACTAGGCCAGGTGGGTGGGAGCGTACAAGCCGATCTGCCCTCATCAAGGCGTCGAGGTGCAAATTGACATGGGAGTGCTTCATTAGCGGTTTCGACGAGAACAAACCCTAGCGGAACGAGGTTGCAGCCGTTCGCCAGCCGCTGTCCCCATCGTATCTCGTTGAGATTTCGTTCTCCAGACATATCAAGGTGTTGAAATCACGTCACGGGCGAACGCAGACGACCCAACGCTCGGAGCGGTTCCTGCGGGATTGTTTCTGGAAAGTGTCACCGGTCACCGGTCGGCATAATGGGGGTCGATGAGATTTCCAATAGCTGTCGAATGCATTTCACAACCCGCATGGTCTCTGGCTCCCAACTGGGAAATCCACGTTTTCGCTGGAACCATTGCAATATGATATTTCCACAGTCGCCATCATCGAGTGCGTGTATTGTCGTCGACGGCTCTCATCGGCTGCGTCGTTCGCGGCCGGGACGGATCTCCGTTTTTCGGCTGATAGCTCCGATCTGCATGTTTTCCGACGGCTGGAAGCATACGGCGCGAAAACGATATCACATGGACGGGGATCTATCTCAGCCGAGGATCCAGTGAGAGGCTGAATTAAGGGTAATCCTGGCTCGGGACGATTCGCAGGTCAGGCTCTGTTCGGGAAACTAATGAGGATTTGGCTAGTCGACGGCATGGATACATAATTTCCTCTCCGGACAGAGTTCCCCCCCGTACCTCTGCGAGCAAATCCATCGGAGCATTTTGAATCAGAATCTTGTTTGCGCAGCTCTCTTCCTCCACTGGCATTGCTCCCACCGAAAAGCGTCATCACGTTGAATCGGTGTATGATTTAGTGTGTTTATAACAGACTGCAGGTCTTCCCAGTTCGATATCGAATGTCTCCGAAAATCGAGGGACTTCGAATGCCTTCTCGTCTGCTTGGCTCAGCCGAGTGAAATCCGTTCGTCTGGTGTATGATGATTTTTCAATGGGACTGTGATGCGCCGGAGACTCACTGCGGACTCGGATATTGGTCCGTGAGCTCCTGTGTGATAATCTGGTCTAGCTTTCGGAAGCGGAACTCATCAAATTGCAACGATGGACCGGGCCAGGTTGAACTCGCGAATACATGTCCCGAAAACGACGCATCATGCCCGATCTGAGAACCTTCTAGAATTCTAGACATTTCATGAAAGATAGAGAAGAGGTGGTGCACGTGTTCATGTTTCCCCCGGAGTCCCCCGGTGGATGCCCGTGCACAGCCCAGTGCACTGCCGGCGACTTCTGAACGGCTTCCGGAATCTACCGGGAAGGTAGACGCGCGAACTTTGATTCTCCTTAATAATTTCTTCGGAACGGCGCAACGGGAGTCTCGAAGTGGATTCCTTCCAGGCTTACGAGCACTTCCAGATAAATAAGTCGGAAAATGAAAAAGGAACGGGAGAGACTCTCTGATCCATGGACAATACCGATGTCGACCTCTCCCGCCGCGGCAGTCGCCGAGTATCATGACATCCATGCCTCTGAATGTGTGCACCTGTATTATCCGAAGCATCTTATTCATGAGGATAGTCCTGAGACGTAGAACAGGAACAGGGATCCGTAAGTGACCGGCACGGCGCTCAGCCGAAGCAGGTGCTGATCCCATCGAGAACAAAATACGGAGTCCGGGGTTCATCATGCGCATGTTTCCTGGAGTGGAATATCGCGAATGCAAGATTATGGGGTAAGGGGGATTATGGGGCGCGAATCATCTCAAGAAGCTCACTATTTCTGTAGGCTGCACCTGGATCTGCATCGCATGTCATCAATTGTCTAGCATGAGGAAATCATCAACTGCTTGCATGTCCATCTTGGACGCAAGTCGTTCTCGAACGCAAAATTCCGGTGGAAAAATAGACGTCCAGTGCAAACCGCTTCCTGCAAGGCCCGGAGTAATGATTTCGGACGATTCCTGCGATGACTTTCTGCGGCAATCGATAAAGTTTTATGGGTAGCGACTGTGTCGTCACACCGCATCCGTTTGCTCAATCGAGCAGATGCGGAGGAATGTGTCTCAACCATGGGCGACGCTTTTTGCTCCATGTCTGTCGGGTTTTCATCATATTTACATTGCGTCACACGTTCCCTTAAGGACAGCTGCGGTGAGCTCTCAGCCCGGCAGCGTCAATTCCGAAAGAGATTTAGGACGTACTCCGAGGCCGTAAAGTTCCTGTATGCATTCGTCCCATGAGAGAAATTCCAACAACAAT